GGCATAGCACCCTGCCGGGCTTTGCGGGTCTTATGGGAGCAAGGAACAAAAGAGCAAGTATTTCTCCATTGCTTTCCATAATAGAGGCGCTCATTTGGGCAATAGAGAGCATGAGGAATTTACGTCAATATCATGTAACTTTTGCGACAGATTGTATTCAATTGGTGAAGATGGTTTCGTCACTGGAGGAATGACCAGCTTTCGCACATTATCTAGTCGATATTAAAACCCTCCAAGAAAGTTTTACGCACTCAGAGATCATTCATACCCCAAGAACACTGAATCAAAAGGCGGACAGTTTGGCGCGCAGTGACAGAAAGAAAGCGTCTTTCATAGTTCATATGGATGAAGAGTTCCAAGTTGATTCGCAGAGTCTGTTTAGAGTCTGTGTTAAGTTAATGACAAAAAAAAAGAGAGTACATTTTATATATGGGAATTGCCTTCTTTAAAACAATACATTTTTATTGTTTGGATAATATTTACTATATTATTTTTAATCAATTATCTAATATAATATATATATATATATATATTTTTATTCGTAATTAATAATATAATTAAATAAATAAATATAATTATTCATTAAGCGTAACAATGATTTTAACCACTCAAAATGAAATAAATATAATGCAAATATGCAGACAAAACTCGAAAAGAAACAACCATATATGTAAAAAGTAAGAAAAAATAAATATGGTTAGATAATATGATTACTTAACCAAAATATTTCTCATGTGATTGCTTTTTGTTTAGATATACTATTTATTGTTTTATTTCTTTCTGATTGTTAAAATATTTGATATGAGTTCTAAAAGTAATCCAGAGATATTGTCATGTCCTAAATGGACTGAAAATAATTTATGGTGACAGGGCAGTGAGACAGTTTTCTGTTCTATTTTAGCAAATTTTTAGTATATATTAATATATATTTTTAATTATGTAAAGAACTATATGTATTTTTTTTAAATGGAGTATCGACTTTAATGTGAGATGTTAGAGGGGATAAATCAATTCGTAAATAATATAAATAGATATAATAAAGAAGTGGAAAAAAAAAATGAATAACGTATTGAACTTTGAATCAATTAAAAATGTGGATAATGATAAAGAAGATGCAAGGTAAGAAGAGAAATAATCTAGGAAAACAAAAGCGTGGGTGGGACCACGTAGCAGACGCGTTCGACTTCACACACACTTTCGTACTATTCTCTATTTGTACTTTACCTATTTTAATATTCATTGGCAATCCCAATTATTACTTTTTTCACATCCACTAAAACAAAAGTTTACAGATTTAGCAATCTGGAAATTTGTCTTTATATGTCCAATCCTTCTACGACTAAAACAAATTGGAAAATCAGCTTCGGAGACCGGTGCGTGCTCATGGCTAAGCAAAAAAGAACTCACCTCTACATCCTCCAACGCTGTGTTTCCATGCTCTTCTGCTGCCACGACTACTCTATTTCAGACTAACTCGTTCTCTTCAATCAAAATTGGAATCATCAACTGGAGAAACCTAGAATTAGAAATTTCATTGTAGAGAAGGCAAGCACAACGTGATGTGATTTTAGGAACTTTTAGTTTAAAGTTTTAAGGTTTTACTTTTAGTTTCATAGACTGTTTTGGTCTTTTCCGGGAATGTCTGTAACATGAGGATAATTCGAAGTATTTGTATTTGGGCTTATAACATGTGAGCTTTTTAATATTATCCATTTGATAACATCTATATTCTTTTTTTTTGTTTTTTTGATAAATTCTAGAGCCTGATCCAGTCCGTCCGAGAAGAACGCATTTAGTACTGCTATAGAAAGGATTAACCCAAAAATGTACTATAATATATTATTCGAATTTGGAATACTTTCCGAGTAATGCCAGCAGATGGCCGATCATCTGTTACAATCCATCATGTTAACCATTTGGATCTAGGCCCATGCTTAGACTAATCAACTAATGATAATTTAGTTTCTAATGAGAATCGAACCCAGAACTAATGTCGATACACACTAAGACCCAAAATATTGTCACTATAGTACTACCACTTGGTTAACATCTATCTATATATATAAAGAAAACATTTCTCTCGCTCATGTGCATCTACATTATCAAATAGAGTGATGAGGGTCTGACAGGTATCCTCTTCACGTTTGATTAAATGGGCTATATAGTTGATCTTAGACACTAAATAATAGTCTATTGTAATTGGCCAAAGAGTACTTCTGATAAAAATCCAAATAAGTATTTTGGAAAAGTCGAATCACTTCAAACTTATCTCTTTTTGGGACCTCACCACGGTGATGTCGATCTATGTTCCATGTAGTTGCTATGAAAACGCGACAGCGTAACCGTAGGAGGCATTCATTCATCATAATTTATTTTACTTTTAATACCATCAATCCACTTTGTCTCACTCAAATATTCAATACACATGGTTATGAAAACTAAATCATCCGTCCTCATTCTCATCAAAGAGCTCGAAAAGCTCGGCACTCCTCTCTCAGCTGCTGTCTTTGAAGACATCACCTTCATTACTACTCAGCACCACCACCAAGCTCCCTTCGATCAAAATGAAGCCATGAACGACGTAGCTGACTGTTTGAACCGAGTTTGCTGATAACAAATAAATGATCAAAGAAAACTCGTCGGTGGATTATTTCAAGGTGTAAGTGAGCAAATGAGAGTAAGAAGAGTTTTATTGATATAGAGTACAAAGAAAACTTCGGTGCTCGGAAGCTAACCGGAGTTGTACGGACCGATCTAAGAGCAACAAGACGAGTGAAAACTCTAGTTTAGCTGACGCGTATTCAGTCTAACTTCGGATCCCTTCTAAGTTTGGTTTCTCTTCTCTTTTATAGGTCGTTGTACGGACAACCCTAATGGGCCATGCCCTTTTCTTTGTGGGCGTTTAGGCGCGTCTCTTCTTACTCGGTACGGACTGATGACGTCTGCTTGGCTCCGAGTTCGTTGTCGCCTTGCGAGCAACCGACTTCTTCTCCTATTCGGGCTGGATAATGGGCCGTTGCATTTATTCGACGGGCCTTTAGGAATGGATGAAATCCACCTCCTACAATAAGTCCCCCAAGTTCACTATGACCGCTGCGTGTGCTTAGTGAAGTGTTTTACAGTGGTCGGGAGAATAAATGATTCGGCTGCGAAGGTTCTCGCTTGTCTATTTCTTTCGTCGAGGAGTTGGTTTGATCTGACCGGAGTTGGTATGTTTCTGTGCGTGGGAATCTGGTTTTCATTGGAAAGCGGAAAAGACGCGGGCTGGTTTACGCGTGTTGAGCCGTAACTAAGCCCAATATGCCTCGTAGACCTAATGATGCCTACTGTGTCAAAACACGCGTCCTCCCTCATTTCCTTATAAATACTCCTCATTCCTTTAATTTACTCAATTCCACCGCTTCTCACAGGTATTTCCTCTCTCGAGTTTCTCTCTCTTTGTCGTCTTCTAGTTAGGGTTTGGTTGATGTCTTTGGATAGATGTCTGACGGCGGCAGAGAAGGATAAATCGGTAGCAACTGACTCGATGATTTCTGGGAAGCGAACTTCCGATACCCAACGAGTGATCGAATCCAAGGTTGCACATCAGGAAGCTTTGCGAGATCTTGGAGGGTTAAGTCTGTCACAACATCTTCTCGTCATGGTTGATTCCGAGAGATTAATATGAGAGGAAGAAAATGCTAGGGTCTTGTTGGCTGATCGATCAGCAAGTGCGGAAGTTGGGGAGAGTCTGAATGGTTCTCGAGTGAGGGATTCGCCTGGTAACTCCCTCCCTTCAGTTGATGAGCCGATGGTTCCGATCCATTTTTTCTCTGGGGGTTTGTTCGTGAAATTACCGTCTCTTTGCCCGAACTCCCTTGCCCGTCAGTGGTTGACGGGCAGGATTAGGAGAATGTTCTCCCGACTCGATCAACAGTCGGGAGCGTCAAGAAAATCCTGAGGGAAAGAGGTGGTTTGGGAGTTAGTTTCATCATTTCGAATACTAACCAGAGACCGTGGACTCCTCCGATAGGATTCCAATGCGTTTATGAATCGTACTTCCAGAAGTACACCAAGCTGTGGTTCTCGATACTGCGATTGGTCACTTCTTACTGCTTTCGACGGGA